GCCCTTCGTCGGATGATCTTAATTTAGTGATTTAAAGCAGTTACATTAAAAAAATAACAACTGAAAGTCGGTCTTGCTGATTTGCTCTGGCTGGGCTTGAACTTGGACTCCTTCTGCCTCAGCCTCCCAGAGCAGAGTGCTGGGATGATGGGCATGCACTGCCACCCCCCGCCACTGGGAGTAATACAAGTATGGACACTCCTCTGCAAAATATTTAAGGCTGCCGTTAGTGCTGGACCTGAGACAGACTACAGAGAATTAACTGGTGAAAATGCAAATATGAGTGGAGGTATTTCAACAAGCTCGTGGCAGCATGGTCTAACGCATGCATTGTGTAGAGGCAGCACTGCGCTAGAAGCTTCCATCTACTGCAGAAAACCTAGGAGTACCATTATTAACAAACAGAGCAGAGCACAATGCTTCAACTTACAAAATGTGCAAACACCAGTACCCGTGTCCCTTGGAGACCCACACTGCAGTGAGAGACAGCCAGGCACTCCCTGTATTTTAATCTGTCATTTCCTCACTGCAGCCCTGGGTGAGTGGCTCTGGGGTGGCACGGGGCACAGGCTTACCTCGCATGTCTTCTGCTGTTCCCGGAGAGCTGGAAGGCTGTGGGCAACATTTCCTGCAAGTGCCTCTTCTGTCCTCTCCAAGAGGTGGACCCACTTTTCACAGTAAGGAAGAAATTTTTCATGGAGTCCGATTTTCTGAAGCTCACTATGAAGGTTTAAAAACACAAAATAGAGACATGGAATAAGGACACCATGGAGCTTGTGTGGCTCATTCTGCCTTTGCAGAATCAATGGCTGGGAGGGGTGTGCCCACCTGCAGCATTCCAGCGCTGTGGCCGTGGCCCGGACCCACCGCCGGTTCACCTGCTGCAGAGTCTTCAAGGCCACGTCACTGAGTGGGAGCCTGAGGCTGACCTCATTCAGATGTTCCATGGCGGGAGCCTGGGCTGTCAGCGCCAGCACATGATTCTATGAAAAAATAAGTCCAGATGTTTTGGCGCTGATACGATTCCCACATGATGACACGGCCCCTTCAGCTCAAGATGAAGGGAGGTGGGGCCTGAACAGGTGAATGACTTGCCTGCTGCAGATGCAGCTGGGACTACACCTGGCTCCCGATGCCAAACCTGACCAAGGGAGCCAACCTACCCAGCCAGCAGTGCCTATGCAGCTCAGGAAGTAGGAAGGGGAACAGACTTTACAAGATGCAACAGCGGCTTTGAAAAAAAGGCCAATATTAGATCTTTAAGTCCTAGAGAGCCTGCCAACAACTCAACCTTACATAGGTCAGGGGGATGTTTGTAGATGGAATGAAAACGTGATTCTTAATATAACTCTAATAAAGCATGGTACTTAAAACTATAAACAATAATACTAGCCCTATCTTGGTAGAACATGAAATCGCAAGAAAGCAGAAACACCAAAGTTTTATTTTTTAAAAGATATTCCAGGGACAGCCTCGAGGTCAATAAGATGTTAAACAAACATCTTTTGCAACACTGGCATTATCGTTATAGACCTCTGCTTGCAGTGTCTAGTCAGGGTCAGTAAACAGCTCCTGCACCAGGTCATAAGTATCTTAGGCTTTTGTGGGCCATGCAGCCTCAGGAGCAATGATTTACCTGCCCTCAAAGCAAGAAAACTCTCAGAGTGAGAGGAGGTGAACCTGGGCTGAGATAGGATGCAGCAACTTGCGAACTCCTGATCTAGGTTATGGCTATCATTCCTTAGAGGAGGGCCGGGCAGATGGCTCAGTAGAATAAGTGCTTCCCTGGCAAGCGCAAGGGCCTGAGTTCAATCCCTGGTTCCACCAAAAAACAAAACAAAAAAACAATGGACATTCCTTAGAGGAACTGCAAAAAGGACGATTCCTACATTCTTCCATCTGTTTATGTTAACTATATTGAATTTGGTAAGGTCACAGAAAAGGGACAATACATGATTTTAATGGAAATGTTTCATACTTGGTCTCTAATTACCAGATTCAATTAAACACAACAGCCAGTCCCTGGATTATTCTGGTTCGCTGCAGTTAAATCTACAAGTCACTATGACATATTGTTAACTTTTCTAGACCTTAGAAGAATGAGGGCAGGAATGAACAAGCAGATGACTGTATTCAAGAGTTAATTAGGATGCAAAGAGATTCAACAGTGCAACAGTAATGAGCTTATTTTTAACCTTATGGTGAGGCTAAGTCCTCAGGAAAGACAAATATTGCCAATACCAGGAATGAGTCAGGATTTTCTTCTTTCTCTAGCTGGTAAAGTTTATCCAAATTCTCTTCTTCTTGGACAATAAGAGCCTGTAAAGACTCCAGCTGCTCTTCAAATTCCTTAAACTGTGAAAGAACAAACTAGAAAGAGAGACATTCTCATTAGAAACGGTTTTCATGCGCACATAGAACATACAGCCTTGCGGGTTGGTAAGAATTTAACCCACAACAGTTCGTTATTATCTCAGAAATTCAGACATGATTATTTGAAGACTCCAGCGTCTCCACTGTTTCTGAGCCTCCTGGGGTGAATGGCTCAGGTGCTGAGAGGGCTACACAGAGAAGGCGAGCCAGCGAGCACTCTGTTCCCCGGGTACTGGGAATGAAGTCATTTAAGTACTTTCTGCTGATACTGAGATATTGGAGCTCCACGGCCTTCTAGTGTCTCCCATACTAAGAGCTTTCCAAAAAGTGAATAAAGCATGTAATATCTGACCATGCTTCAAGAAGCAGTTTCTATGATTCACTTACTGCACTTGGCAATCCAAGTAACAGATCTGGACAGTGTATGCAATATATCGCTTCTCAACCTGACATGTGCAATAAACCACAGTGGTGGCTTAATGTTTGTCCACTATCCATGTGATTGGAGGTAGAGCGACACATTTGCAGGCAGTTTCACGCTGCACCTTTCCCTAAGGTGCCAGCCCTACCACACACTTGCTTCCTAGAACACAGGGCCGGGGCAGGGAGCACATGGCCACGACTACCACAGGGATGGAAAAGGAAGTGCAACCTCAAATTCGTTTGCTTTTCTAAGCAGCATCTTTTCCAAATAAGCAGCTCTCTGGAGGGCGTGCAGCTGCCCAGAAAGAAGCTCGGGGACACCGGAATCTGCAGACTGCGGGAGCTGATCCAACGGCATGGCGTTCTGGAGCAGGGCTTTTGTCTTCTGCACATCGTGCTGCAGTTCCTGCAGGAGAAAGTGCAGTCACCAAAGGCTTCCTTCTTTCACACTACAATTCCCTACGCCCTGCTACTCCCTCAGCATCTAGGAGAATTGCTGACCTGAACCTGTGGATATGGTTTTCGTTATGTTTATTTCAAACAGGTGAAAAAACAAGCCTCTGAATGATCTGGAGCACTGGAGCTGTTCTAAAATTTGTTGGTTCTGAGCTAGAACTGACCACCACTCAATAGAGGGGAGGCTTCTAGTGGATCCTTACCAGGATCTACTTTCCTCAGCACTTTGGGAGGCTGAGGCAAGAAGACCCCAAGTTTGAGCCTACGTTGGACAACTTAATGAGATCCTGTCTCAAAATTTTAAAAAATAAAAATAAAAAGGAGCGAGGCTGTCATTTACTGTGAAGGCCCTAAGTTTAATCCCTGGTACTGAAAACAACATCTGCTTTTGTTTTAAAAAACAGCAGGTGGACAGCAACTGCAAGACAGAGCAGTTGGATTCTTGTCTCTTTAAATTGGTTACCCCTTTTTAATTTGAAAATCCCTATCATATCATAAAAGACACAGGATATCCAGTCAGCAAGTTTAATACGAAAAAATATTCAATTTCTGAGTATGTCTTCATAGTAGGAAAAACAAGTACAGAGGAAACTGCTGCTCTTAAATATAGTCTAAAAAAAATCACTAAGTCCATGGAAAAAGTCAACGAACATAGCATCAAGCCTATGGCTATTTCTAAAGCAAGAGATTCAACAGCTATCACTGCTAGATGAATCCACTCAGAAAAGACAATTTTGCTTTTCTTTCAGATACTGTATGAGGCCGGTTCTTTCCAGATAACTGCTGTGGTCAAAGTATGGACTTGGAAAACAAGTGGTGTCGGGTCCCCCTGACCCAGCCGCTGCTTAGACTTGATGTCTGAGCTCACACCTGCTCCCCCAGCCTTGCACACCCCACCTGTCTCCCCCAACCCCCTTCCTGTCTGACTTGGGTCTGGCGTTCCCAAAGGGCCTTGCGTCTACCTGTGTGTCCTGCAGGGCCAGCGGCAGGGTCTCCGCCAGGTTGTTTCCAGACATGTTGATTTTCGCAAGCTGCTGGAACTTGGCTTCCTGCTGCTCCAGCCTGGCTGCGGCCTCTGTGTGGGCGCCGTGACAGGCCTTGCAGAGCTGGAGCAGACCTCGGGCCTTCTGCAACTCATCTGCAAGGCTTTGGTTTACCTGGGTCCACCTGTCAGCACAACGCAAGCAACGGCACCCTTACTCCACCCTTCCCGATACCAGGCAGTTAACAGTGGACGGATTATTAAGAAGACACTGTCACATGCTTCTTTAAATTAAGAGCATCACCACCATATACAGACATCCAAATTAGGCTATCTGACTTATAATGTTTAGCAAAAATGAAAAAATTTGTGATCGGCAGAAAATATCTAGGAACGACCCTTAGGCAAAGTGGGAAAAAGCGCTGAATTATATGTCTGCTGGGCAATGTCCTTAGATAGATCTTAATTGTCTTTATGTCAAATAAAATTTGTTTTGCAATTATTAAAAGAAAATATTCCTTATGCAAAAGTACATAGGGAACTGCTTTGCCCCATATACATGCTGTAGACGCTTTTGTTTCTTCCCCATTTAATTGAAAAATGTTACCCCATTCATTAGTAAAAATAAAAGAAAACCTAATTTTAAATGCCTGAAGCTGTGGTCTGTAGATTTCCTTTCCTATGTGCAGCGGTGGCCTCGATTCCATCAGCAGCCACTGGCCACCCTGCTTGGGGACGGTGGCCCTGATCTCACGCTCAGGTGGGTTCTGTGTTTTTCTCCCCCACCCCTCTCGGCCTGCCCATCACCATTGGGTCAGGACCTGGGGCCACCGCTGCGGGCCCAGGCCTCGCGTTCCTCCTTTAGTCCTGGCTCCCGGGAGCTGCGCCTGGAGGAAGGCTGCACAGAGACACCTCAGGTAGCTGGACCACGACACCACTCTGGGAGCAAATCTGCCTTAGTCAGCTTTCAAGCTCCACCCAGCACAAGAACCCACAAGGAACGAGGCACAGACTTCCAGAAAGCAGGTCATCAGTACGTTCTTTCCAGCCCCAACAGAGCAGCTCATCAGGGGGATCAGTAACACCTGCTTTGCAAGCACCTCACGTCTCCAAAGTGTGAATGCACAGCAGACAGCACAGCTGGGCGCGTCTAGAAGGCTTCTGTGTCCAACTCCGGTGTCCTGAGACAGCCCTGGCCCTGGGCAGGCCTTTCTACATCATCACCCAGCCAGGGACTAGCGCTCGAGACAGCGAACCAGGAGAGCAGAGAGCAGAGCAACAAGGAAGCAGCCACCTCAGCGGCCGAGCAGACCCCCCAAGGCCGACACCAAGTTGCCCACCCGCCCGTGACTCCAGCGGGAGCTTCGTGCGCACCTGGCGTGAGCATGCTGGCGCTTCTCCTCCATGATCTGGGCCACTGCGGGGCAGGGCTCTCTGAGTCTGCCGATCATCTCCTGCAGCTCCTCCCAGCTCCCCTCGCTGCTCTCAGCTTCGTCTTGAAGACTCTAAGAGAATAGAGCGCAAATGGCAGCTTCAGATGCACTAGCGACTTCCCACTCGGGCAGCGGCTTCTCCGCAATCGCTGCACGCGGGCCGCGCAGACACTCAGACTCTAGACGGTGGTAAGAAACTATCACAAACGGAAAGAAAGCAACTGAGGAGGCCTGTCAGCCTGCCTTTCCTTCCTTCCATTTGTCTGTCCTTCCTTCCCTCCCTCCCTCCCTCCCTCCCTTGAAGCTGAAATGTAAGTTGAAAACAAAACCAGGCTGGTGGTTCATGCCTGTCATCCCAGCACTCTGCCAGGCCAAGGCAGTAGGATTATAAATTTAGGTCCAACCTGGTAATTTAGGGCCTGAGCAAGACCCTGTCTTAAAATAAAAAGGGTTGGGCGTGGAGCTTAGTCCAATGGCCCTGAGTTCAATCTCTAGTGCTGCAAAACAGCCCCAAAACATGTTTAAAAAAAAAAGAAAGACAGAAAAACACTTAAGCCAAACACACATACCTACATTTAAAATGTGAAAATACAAGGACATAAAAACCACAATGTACAATGTGCAGATAAAGTTCTGCTCTGGCTTGTGCGGCTCACTCCACACCTCCTCAGCCACGGCTGGGAACACACAGCTCTGTGCTGCTCTGTGGAGGGCACAGGCCACTGCTGTGTGCCTGTGCTGCTGCGGACTCACCTGCAGGGCCTGCACCTGGCACGCCAGGGCCTCCAGGGACGGGACCTCAGGCGCGCTGTGCTCCACACGGTACCTGCACCGGATCACCGTCCCCTGCGCCTCCTCGTACAGGTGCTCGCAGCTCTTCTGGGCCGCCAGCACTGCCTGCATGGAGGCTCTGAGCCGGGAGACCTGTGTGAGAAGTGGGAAGAGGCCAAGTCACGAGAAGGTGCACTTGGCGCCGGCTCCTCCCAGAGCCATCCCTGTACCAGCAGATGCTGGCACCTTGAAAGTGGGCATGGGGGCAGGGGCAGCGATTGGCGGCGGGTGGGAATGCAAGTCAGAGGACCCAATTCCCACAGAAGGCCACGTTCCAGGTTCCAGGGTGGGGGAAAGGAAAAGACCCCTTGGGTCAGAAGGGTCAGTGCCAGAAGCACTGGGCAGGGAGATCAGAGCCCAGGGAAGGAACTCAGGGCTGGGGGAGCAGAGCCCAGTTCAGCTAGGTTTTCTACCAGCTTCCTGGCCTGGGGGCTATTTAATCCTGCGGGGAGGCCCCAGGACTGGAGATTGAACCCACAGTACACATACCAACACACATCTCCAGCTCTTTCCTTTTTTTGGCTCTTTTTGTTGAGATAGGGTCTTACTGTGCAGTTCAGGCTGGCCTTGAATTTAGGGCAATCTTCCTGCCTCAGCCTCCAGAGTACTGGGATGACAGGTGTATGCCCCCATGCCGAGCCACCCCAGCTCTTTTTATCTTTTCTTTGGAGACTTATTTCACTAAGTTGCTCAGTTGCCCAGGTTGGGCTGGAACTTGTGATCCTCCTGCCTCAGTTCCCAGAATGCTGGGATTACAGGCCGACATCATCAGGCCCAGTTTCGATTTGGTTTCTTTATCCACAAAACAGAGATTAACAAAGTCCAAATAAAAGTGTCGGTGAAAATGCTCTAAAATCTGCAAAGCATTCTAAATGTAACATGAGACCTGTTTCACCTGACACTCTTAGGAAGCAGGCACAGCCTGGTGTGAAAGTGACAGGCAAGAGCAAAGTGTGACAAACAGCATATTGTCCCATTAGTTCATTTTGATAATGATAAAAGAAAGTAAACATCTAGTTACCTACTGAAAATGAGCTCAGATCTGATCAATAATATATAAAGAACATTTAACAACTCAACAAGCAAACAGAACCAAATTAGCACAGTGCAGTGGCACATGCCCACAATCCCAGCACTCTGGAGGTTGAGGCAGGAGGATCGCTGTAAATTCTAGGCCAGCCTGGTTATACAATAAGTTCAAAACTAGCCTGGACTACACAGGAGACCTTTTCTCAAAAAATAAATGAATAGACAAGTACACAGAAAAATAACTAAGGAATGGGCAATGACACTTCTCCAAAGATGTACCAGGAGTCAATAAAATAAGAAAAGGGGCTGGTGAGATGGCTCAGTGGTCTAAAGCACCTACTTAGAACAAGCTTAGCAAAGCACAGGGACCGCGGTTCAATCCCCCAGCACCACATGCCATCCAGCCCCGCCCCCTGGTGGGCTGAGCTGGCCACACACACACACACACACACATAAATAAATAAATAAATAAAAAATTTAAAAAATAAAATAAAATAAAATAAAATAAAAAAAGATGCCTGGTGTCCACAGTCACTGGGGGATGTTACACATAGCCACTTTGTACGAGTGAGACATTGCTTCCTATCACTTTGATGGCTATAATAAAAAATATAGATAATTAAGTATGGATGTAGAAAAGTTTGACAGTTCTTCAAAAAGTTCAAGTTACCATTAGACTAACAATTGTTTTCATGGATATCCATCCACCTACCCAGGAGCACTGAAAGTGCAAGCGTATATTCACAGGAAAGCCTGTACCCGAGTGTTTATAGCAGCACGCTCACCACAGGCTACAAATGGAAATGACCCATTCAGCTGAAGAATGGATAAACTAAGCGTGGTATATCCATACAATGGAATTTTACTTTTTTTTTTGGTGGAACAGGGGATTGAACTCAGGCCCTTGCACTTGCCAGCAAGCGCTTCTTCTACTGAGCTATCTACCCAGCCCCGATGGAATATTACTGAGTCATACAAAGCAATGAATTATTGATACACATACACTGATCTTGCAAACATCATGCTAAGGGCTGGAGGCAGCGCTCAGGGGTTACTGATGCTGGGCAGTTCGCGGATGGACAACCTACAGTCCTTCTCTCTACGTTCGTAAAATACTTACTGAAATACTAATTCATACTCTAGGCGATTCACTTATGTGAAATGTACACTCTCCATAACCAACTACAGAACATCTTCTTCACACCAAAAGAAATCCCAAGGCAGCAGCAGCTATTCCTCTTCTTCGCCACCACTAACCTACTTTCTGTCTCTATAGATTCACTTATGCTGGGTTATTTCACATAAATGGAGTCACACTTTTGTCACCAACTTCTTTCACTTAGCGTAATGTCTTTCTTTTTCCTTTTTTGAGACAGGGTTTTACTGTGCAGTTCAGGTGGCTCTAGAACTCACTTTGCAGCCACACTAGCCTCCTGCCCCCACTTCCTGAGTGCTGGGGTTACAGTTATGCGTTATCACGCCTGGCTCTTAACATCTCTAAAGCCATTAATGTTCTACAACATGTTGGTTATCTTTTTTTGGAAATATAATACTCCATTGTGTAAATATACTGCATTTTACTAATATATTCATAGGTAGATGGATAATGGGTTATTTCCACTTTTTGGCTATTATGAATTACGCTGCTGTAATCATTGACGTACAAGTTTGTTTTTTTGCAAAACCGGGGATTGAACTCAGGCCCTTGTGCTTCCTTGGCAAGCACATATTCTACTGAGCTATCTCCCCAGCCCCAATGTACAAGTTTTTGATATGAATGTTTTAATTTCTTTTGGGTTATCTACATAGGAGTTGATTTACTTGGTAAAATGGTGGCTTTATATTTAACCATTTGGGGACATGGCACATTATTTTCTAGATGTTATTTTTCCAGCATGGGAAGGACTGAATCTTCATACTGGTTTATATTTCAACCCATTTTTAATTTTGAGACAAGGTTTTTCTAAGTCCTGACGATGCCCAGGCTGGGTTTGAACTTGTAGTCCTGCTGCTTCAGCCTCCCGGAGTGCTGGGATTCCAGGCACGTGTCACCATGTCCAGTGTGGGGGTTTGTTTCTGGAACCTCAATTATATTCTACTTATATACAGTTCTAACTTCATGACTTTGTTAGCTGCCTGCCATTTTCCCCTGCAGCCTCTCAACTTCCCCCTCTATACTTTCATTACATTATAGTTCTTGCAATTACCTGTGGAGCTGCACTTTTTCCACTGGGAACTACAGGAAGTCAGGCTGGCCGCTGCCTGTGGGGTTCACACATGCGGCTTGTTCCCAAGCCTCTTGGACAAATGGTGGAAAGTGGGCTTTGGCAGACGACAAACACCCATGCTGAGGATGCTGGAGGAAACGTGGACCTGGGGCAGTTGGTTAGTACAGCGCAGCCCTTTGTTGCAGGACATGCAGGCTGTAATGTCTGGAGATGTCTGTCTGTCTGTCTGTCTGTCTGTCTGTCTGTCTGTCTGTCTGTCTGTCTGTCGGTGCTGTCTCCTCACAACCCAGACGTTCCTTTCATAAGATCCAGGGGGCCCGCATGCCTTTTCCTTCTGAACTTTCCCTGACCACTGAGCTGTGTCCCCTGCCTCGAGAGCCGTCCCTGTGCTCATCACACTCCTAGCTCACGAGGGTTACGTGACACAGGACCACAGAGCACCCACCTACATGTGGGGCATCTGAGCTGCTTCTCCAGAGCTGTTCTGTGTATCTGCCCAGGAGACAACGCCAGATGCTGTCAGGCCGTGGACATGGGGCATTTGTGTCCGCAGGACCACAGCAGACACAACAAAGACAGCCCAGGGGGTTTCCTGCCTGTCTGGGAAGACAGGAGTAGTGGCTTTGCTTTGAATTCAATGCACAAAATGGGATTCGAAATGTTTCTCTCCACTTGAAGACTTTCCTCAACAACTGTCCAGTTTTTGGTACAGAGCAAGTCTCCACAAGTGTTAAAGAAAAAAACAGCACATAGGAGATATGAAAAGAAACAATATACTTCAAATGAGTCCTATACCTGATCGACCACACGGCTCCTCTTTTGAAACAACACATCGATTCCAGATACTGGATCTTCTAACCATGGTGTGGTCCCACTCTCCAAAGTCAGGTGGCTTTGTCTCAACTCATCCAGGGCTTTGGATTTGGCTGCGAGTTGATTTTCTATGTCCTGGAATGGCAAAGGGGAAAAACAGTTTTTGATGCATATTATTATAATAAAACAGTAAGGTTCAGGAGACTGGAGTTTCCTCTTTTCAAGCAAAAAACTGCTGCTGTAGTATATAATTATAGCATTACAACAAATATACTTTAATCATAATACAATCTGCATTTGACGTTATAGTGCATGGCTTTTTCTTTTAAGAAACACTAAGCAAAAAGTCGTTTCCAGCATGACAGGGAGAGCCCAGGACAGGCGTACTTGCTGCACATCTGCCCTGGGCTGGCTGTTAATGCAGGCCCGAGTCACTGCACCCAAGTCTCTGTCACCTGGCAAAGGGAGAAGACAGCCCACGCTGGGTGTGGCTTCGAGTCCCACTGAGACCACATAGAAGAGGTGCTTGGAATGACAGGAAGTAGACCTGGTGGTCCAGACAGGAACAACTCTAGCAGCCTCTTTTACCCCTTGGTCTGTGTGAATTCACTCCTAAAAGCAACATAAACTCTCTAACTACATATTTCCCAGAAATGCACAGAAGCCTGAGCCTGGGAAGGAGCCCATGGGGCCGGCGATCTGCAGACGGCTGACGTGAAGGTGGCCAGCGGCAGCCTGCTGCGCGCCAGAGGAAAGGTGGCGGGTGTGGCCTGAACAACTTCTGGGGCCAGGCTGGGACCCAACTCAGAAAATGTGGATGCTTCTCCTTAATTCTTTTTGTCACAGTGGAGATGGAACCCAAGGCCGTGTGCCCACTGAACACACATGGTGTCACTGAATGGCATCCTAGTCCGTTTTTAAAAGTATGTATTCAAGGGCTGGCCAGATAGCTCGGCAGATTAAAGCACCTGCTTAGACAGACATAGGAACTGGGGTTCAATCCCCGGTGTGCCATGCCAACCCCACCCACGGGGCACACTGGGACAGTGAATGAGACTGGGCGTGGTGGTGCGCGCCTGGAATCCTAGCACTTGGGAGGCTGAAAACAAGAGAATCACTATGAGTCTGATCTGTAGTAAGACCTTATAGTCCCTGTACTAAATACATAAAAAAGTAAAATAAAAAAATGTTCAAGACATATGAGCGTGTTACAGAATATCCATGCCTACCTCCTCTACACAGCTCAGTACTCCACACATGCATGTGAATATGTGGTCACCCTCTGATGCCCCTTTGCTCAAGTTTTCTCTTGATTAAACACACACACACACACACACACACACACACACACACACACACACAGATTCAGCTTTCTAAAACCATCACCAGGGGTCCACAAGGAAAGAGGAAGGCAAGTGCCTCGTGGCTCAGGGGTGGGACAACCGGCTGCAACCGGGCACTGGTGCGGACGAGCCCCTTGCATTGGCCTTACAGGGTGCTACTGACATCCAAGCCAGGGAGCTGCAGGTCACACTTAAAATATTGAAGTCACAAACTTTAAAGCAATAAATATCAGAAATCTTTTGAAGAGTAGAAAAAAGAGGGAATGAATTCTGTTAAGAAACTGATAGGTGAGAGCTAGGAAAGGACCAGGCAATCAGCAATGGAGTGAGGGAGAGAGGGAGGGAAAGAGCCAGCCAGCCAGCCAGCCAGCCAGCCAGGAACCGCCACTGTGTGGTCCTCCTCCCAGTGAATGCAGGGCCATGTGACCATGACTGTGAAACCTCTCACTGCACCAGCAGTCCACATGAGAATGCTGCCCAGTGACACCTTGCATGCCACAGGGTTCTGAGGTTCTCTTCATGGAGGGGCTGGGAAAGTGCCCATGAAGAGAACCATGCCCAGCAAGCAGACCACTCTGCAGTAGCCTCTGCCAGCGAGTGCCACTGTTCACTGTGCCCACCTCACGCCTGACCACCTCAGCCCTGTCCCTTCCCCTGGGTAGGTTTGCAGGTGGGGTCGGGTCAGCAGGCTGCAGATGGGCTGAATCCCTGAACTCCCTCATCTGGTAGAAGATGCACAAGTGGACAGATGAGAGTGTAGCCAGCCTGTGACATGAGGACCACACCAAGGGGCTAGCGACATCTAAGTAGGAATTTATCTCACCTCCACCAAGTTTACAGTCTTCTGTGAAGATGCATCTAAGAAAGCAAAATGCACATTAAAACGGGAGCGACAAGCTAGTGCAAAGTAAGGGAGCACAGGAAGGGGCATGGACGTAACTAGGGGTGGAAGGTGGAGGAGGCGGAGCAAATGCTTGGCCTGTGTTCTGCTGTCACAGGAGGCCTGTGCGAGGCACTGGCGGTGAGGCAGAGCTGTGGAGTGTTTCGTGTTCTGTGACTGCACAAGGGCCAGAGCTGCTGAGGATTATGGGCGGGGATGACAAGAGAGGAGGCTGCTCAAACCTGTCTGAAGATTATGCATGCAGGTTACCTGCACCCCAGGGCACCCAGGTACAACCCCTTATGTGCACTTGGATGGCAGGCACACATTTAAATCTGGGAGCCCCATTCCAGAGGGGGCTACCATGGTGCTTCTGGGTCCTACGCCTTCTGCAACACGAGTCATTTTGCCAATGATCATGACGAATGTTAGGGAAAAACATGTATTAGTAAAATTAAGAATTTATTAAAAGGCATACTTTCTCGCTGGGAAAAATCACATATATCCCAGATAGGTGAACTGGCCAAATGCAGTTCTCACCCTTATTGAGCAGGATATAAGAACGGGGTGTAGTTGTCGCCTATAACCTGGGTGATAATCCCTAGGACAAGTCTGTGTCTGTCCCCCCAACCCCCTGGGCACTGAAGATTGAATCCAGGGCCTTTTAAATTGAATTCAGGCTGCATTTCAGCCCTTTTAATTTGTTTTTTTCTTTTTGAGACAGGCTCTTATAAAGATATTGAATCACCCAGACTAGCCTCACACTTGTGGTCCTCCTGCCTCAGCCTCCCAGAGTGCTAGGATTACAGCCATGTGTCACCATGCCTGGCTCCTGCTGTGATTTTGTATCCAGCCTAACTTTTGAAAAAACTCTGGTCGCCTAACGTGACCACAGAGATGACGGACTCTGCTTCCTCTGGGGCAAGCTCCTGAGCTCCTCATGCACAGTGCTGATGGCAGGCCAAAGGGCAGCGAGCACAGGGCTTCGCTGAGCTTGCCATCTACACACTGCCTGAGCTGTCTCCTAGTAGTTTCCACACGCGGCAGACCTCCATCTGTGTTTCCTTTTTCCTGCCAGTATGGGGCTCAAGCCCAGGGCTTTGGGCTGTGCTACTGAGCTGTACCACGGCTCTGGGATCTGCTTAATCACAACGTGCCGGAGGTGCTGGGGCAGATAACCTAACCCAACTCCAGTGTGTCTGATGGCTCACACTCACCAAAACAAAGCAAAAGACTAAGAACTCTGCAGACTTGCTTAGGTTACACGCTGAGAAGCTGTAGTGGCCTGTCTGCAATTTGTAGGTAAGGTGAGGTTGCTGAGGGCCTGGGACGCCGTTCTACAATACTAGAATGTCACTCCGTAATGTGGAGACAGTGAAGGATTTCCCAAAGGGCACCGCTGAGACCTTGTGCATTTTAGAAGCGTCACTCTGAGGCAGTGTGAAGGCAAATGAGAAGGACAGAGGCCAGGGGCTGGGCGCAGGCCTGTGCTGAGAGGACAGCATGTGTTTTGCTGGGGACCAATGATGCGGAGCTCCTGAGGGCAGACAGACAAGGACAAAAGCTGCCTCTGAGGAGGACTGTCACCTGTGAGCTGAGGACCGCAGCTTCCCGCAGAGGACGCTGTCTGCCAGGTGGCTCTAAGGAGGCTCAGTGGAGACACACACAGGAGCGGGGGACATGACACAAGCATCCCAAAGCCCTGTGACCACATCCTGCGCTGCTCACATTTTACGTCCAGGGCTATTCTGTCGGCCTCTCAGCAGAACCAGGGTCCCACCGACCTTCCCACCCAACAGTGCACAGCACACGGTGTTCCTGCAGCCTCAGCACCTGGCTGGGAGCGTGCGGCCGCCCTGGGCAGTGCTGAGGGAGGACGAGGCCTTGCTGGGAGGGGCTGTCCCAAGGGCCGCGGGAGCTGGCAGACAGACAATGACCTGTCGACCAGAAGCATCAGTACTGGGCAAAGTAATAACACAAAAATTGGGAAGCACCTAAATCAAAATTCCTTGGGCTTATTTTACCCCCTTGGGAAGAAATAGTATTTATATCTCTTAAGAGGAGCAATGACTAGGGAAATAGCTTTTGCTCGTTACGACAGGAAACAGTACTCTACAACCCTATAAAACACAGGGATGATGATGGTGATGTAATTTCTGTAAGGAACCAAGTACAGCCAGTGCCGCACGGCCCAGGTGTGCAGCTGTGGCCCCACCTGGCTTGTGTATGGACACCCCTCAGGGCCAGAGCCTTTTTCTCTGTGTGACACAACTATCTAAGGATACCCCTCTCTGGATGCCATCCTGTTGCTAAGCAACACAGGGCTGTAAGTGCAGTCTCCAGACACTGGAGCATCCGGCCTTTTTCTTGGGGTGCATGTGGGGACCTCACAGGCCAACTGCACCATGGGGGACGGGACCTGCCCATGCCTCACCTGACAGTCCAGGAGCAGCTTCCCAACCGAGAGCACGCGTGCAGGTGTCTGCAAGGTGTTCAGCCTCTCCTCCTGCGCCTGCAGCCAGCTGTCCAGCATCTGTACTTTGCTCTCCTGCTCCATGAGGCTTTCCAGAAGCTGTTCTAAATGCTGTATCTATAAGGAGTGAACAAAAATATAGTGAGAACGTGTCTTATATTAAACACTAATGCTTAAAAAATGTAAATGGCAGAGCTGAGGAGACAGTTCAATGGGATAAGTGCCTGCCTGGCAAGTACAAGGTGCCAAGTTTGATACCTGGTACAGCAAGTAAATGGCATGCTATGGCTTTTTAAAATTTTTCTGTCTTTTTGAGGCAGGGTCTCGGCTCTGCAGTTCAGGCTGGCCTTGAGCTCATTTTGCAGCCAGGCTGATCTCGAACTCATAACAATCCTCCTGCCTCAGCGCCCTGAGTGCTGGAAATACAGGTTTGTGCCACCACCCCTGGCTTGACAGGACATTTTGAAAATGATAGTTTTCTTCCCAAATTTCTAATATTTTGCATAAAATAGACTGGTAACTTTGGGCTAAAGTTTAAGCTAGAAAATAGAATTTAAATTCTTTAAAACACACAAAGTGAAGGTTGATCTTTGGGCTGGGGAGATGGCTCAGTAGAACAAGCACTTCCCTGACAAGCACAAGGGCCTGAGTTTAATCCCCAATTCTGCCAAAAAGAAAGAAAGAGAGAGAGAGAGAGAGAGAGAGAGAGAGAGAGAGAGAGAGAGAGAGAGAAAGAAAGAGAAAGAAAGAGAAAGAAAGAAAGAAAGAAAGAAAGAAAGAAAGAAAGAAGAAAGCTAATCTGCTGAGACAGCTGGCTACTTTGGAGTCTCATACCAGGTTTACAAAAGTAAAAATCATGTTGCTAACCTTCAATACATTTTTACCACATCCTCTATTAATATAGGTGAAGCTGGGGCCCAGGAGAAAGCTCAGTAGAATAAGTGCTTCCCTGGCAAGTACAAGGGCCTGAGTTCAATCCTCGGTTCCGCCAAAAAAAATACAGATAAAGCTGAAGGAGATGCTTCCCTCGGACTCTTCTGCAGAGTTGCTTAACATTTTCTATCAATATTAGCAATATCACAAATTGTCCATCAATGTAATAATTAGTTTTAATCTTGTGATTCTTCTCATATCTAATACAATTTTTATTAGGCAACAGAGTAATAAATTAAGTTTTCCAATATACTGTAAACACTCCTTGCTGTCACAAAGGGTGGCATTAATTTTAAAAGACTGTCCTATGGCTTGCCAAATGGACACGGTATCTTTTTTGTTTGTTTTGAGAGAGGGTCCTGTTAGGTAATTTTCGCTGACCTTGAACCCACTATGCAGCCCAGGCTAGCCTCAAACTTATGGCAGCCTTTCTGCTTCAGCCTTCCAAGTTCTGGGATCGCAGGTGTGCACCACCATGGCCGGCTGGACATGGTATCGTTTGATTAGTTATTCCCCTAACATAAGGAAGGTGTTGTACAGTTTTTGTAAGTATAAATCGCATCAAACACTTTATGTACACTTTCCATTTTGGAAGGGTTGTCTGCTTTAAAATAAATATCTATAGGGCCAGTCAAATAGCTTAGCGGATTAAAGTGCCTGCTTAGGCAGATGCAAGCACTGGGAGTTCGATCCCTGGGTCTGCCATGCCAGCCCCACCCCTGGGGCGGCGACTGAGACAGGGCGTAGTGGCAAATGCCTGTAATCCCAGAGCTTGGGAGGCTGTAAACAGGAGGATCACTACGAGTCTGATCTACGTAGTAAGACCCTGTACTAAATTTAAAAAATAAACAAAATAAATATCTAACAGCTGGATTGTAGGTTGAAATCATAAGGATGATCAACATGGTTTAAATTCTGCTGGTGCTTTGTGAAAACTGCATTTAAACCACTATGCTATCGGCAACATGGCACCTTGGAGCTCTCTGGGTACCTCTGCTCCAGCCTGGTCTATCTGGGTCCATCTGTGTACTTGAATCTGAACTGCACAAATCTATTTGTACGCATTCTCCACACAGAACAGAGATCAATGATATTTACATATAAATATGTGAATAAACATACATATGTAGATATGTAAATGCACATATATAAAATATATATACACATAAATATGTAAATATGTATTTCAGTAATATATTTTCTTCATCTTTTCTGAGGACACAATGTGAAAAATCGACCACAAAGCCGCATGCATTTTCCTTCCTTTTCATGATCATTAAAGCTGAAATAACTCCCCTTCTTGAATATGTGTTCATAGAAAAATGTCAAAAGCTCTGTCTTTTTTAGTACTCTGGTATAACATTCGACTTCTTAAACAAAATTTCTCTTCTTCACTTGCCTAAGTCAATTTCCCACTAAGAAATCTCAAGAGATATAAGAATTACTATTTTTGTACCCATGGAAGGTGCTAAAACACAGGACTTAGAAAGGGGCTATGTATCAATCATCTGAACGTCTTGCTTTAGTGTGTCAGAAGTGGTATTCTGTGAAGTCCGAGCCGTTTGGGGCTGGGGCTTGGAGCCCACCTTTCGATTCAGGGCTCCGTGCACGCGGTGCCACTGGCGGTTCATCTCGCCCAAGTGCTCCGCAAACTCCGTCCTTTCATAGCGCTTGCTTTCGACGTCACAGGTGCTCAGCTGCAGTAGTGACTGGTTAACAAAGTCCACTATCCACTGTTTGTAGTCCATTTCCATTCTAAACGCCTGGAACACACAAACAGGCAAAATTAAACACCCAAAGCTTGAATGATTTTTCCCTGGCTGTGTTTAGGGGGCGCCCCACTCCCACCCACTAACCCTGGGGCCAGGGAGGCCTTCCCTTCCACCCATTCCGAACCCCATCAAGAAGCTGCTTTATGGGAGTGCTAATCTTTTTTGTGAATGACACATTCCCAGGAATACTGGCTGCTCTGAAACAGAGCAGAAAGCCCAAAAGACCCGTGTATATGGCGGCAGCTGTCAGCTGAGGCGCATCAGAACCTGGGTTCTGACTGACGGCTTTTGTGAGAGGTTGCCTGAGAGCAATGCTGGATTCTGGGCTACTTTGAGACTTATGCAGACAACACCACGAGAAAAAAAGAGGTTAAGATTCTCCCAGGAAGCCCAGGACACATTAGCAACTCTGCAAGTTAGGCAGCATCTGCTGAAGAATCCCAGCCTCCCCAGGCAGTCAGGACAGTGTGGAGCTCAACAGCAATCCTAAGCCCATATGGGGCTGTCAAGCCTGCTGCCCATTAGGTTTTATCCAGGAATGTTCCAGTACCTCCTCTGGGACTGCCCAAGGGAATAAGGTGTTATGTACTAGGTTGTTAGATCCTGGTATTCCTAGACTAGGTAGGGACAGTATAGGAAAACATCTGCTACTGTCATACATGGTCACTAAGCCATGCACGTTCCGCCTGCCAGAGGGGAGCTCTGGCAGCGGGCGGGTGTTTGATGACAGTTGGAGGGCTACCATTTAGCGCTGAGCTTGGAGGGCTACCATTCGGTGCTGAGCTCTCAGTGGCTAGCACAGTGCCTGGCGCAAGCTAAGTGCTTGCCTGTGCCTTGTTCAATGATAATTACTTGAAATTAAAATTCTTGGAGGAGGCCACAGTCATACTATTTGTAGAAGGACATCAGCTTTTCTTCTTCACTCTCAAAGATTTATTAATACCTATTGGAGGTGAGCCACGGAGCTCTTTGGGGGAGGTAAAGGTTGGCCCCCGCTTCTACACTTGATCTTAGCCCAAAGGCCGAGAAGCAATAGCCCCTGCTTCTTAAAGCTCTGTCAAGGTGGGAAACAGCCAAGCAAGCCACTGATTATTATACTAGGTGACAGAAACTAGCACCCACAAGTGGAGACAATCTGTCGAGAGGCCAGCTAAGCCTGCTGGAAGAACCAGGGTGAGCTTGTCAGTGAGAAGAACTCCAGCCAACCCCAAAGGACGCCCGGGAGGACTTTAGTGGCTGACAGTGCCAGCAGTAGGCAGCCTGCATGAATAGGAGGACAAAGAGCTGCAGAAGTGGGTGAGGAACCCACAGACATCCGCGGACAGCTGAGGCTGGGGAGCAGGGAGGCCCTGGGCTCATGAAAAGCTTGGGCTGTCCCACGGGGCGGGGTGACAACGGAATGGAGGCTAATTCATGTCTCGAGGACGGTCCCCCACTCCACGTCCTAGCCCTAGAATTAGATTTTCTGAATTGTATGCCACACGGCTCTTGGGTCAGCTTTTCTCCTCCTCATGTATGATGTGCCTTCTCAGTCAATAGAAAGATTCGGCCCACACCATTACCTTCAGCTTCTGAAGCTGCCTCTTCACTTGAGGCGCAGAACTCGGGGCTTGTGCAGCCTCCTCATCGGCCATTTGGTGTTCTACACAGTTCATCCAGCCAATCATTTCTGCGATTGCTTTGCGAGACGGCAATTTCTCCATCTGAAGCTGCAAGGACAAAATGATTTTCACTTAATTACCTGCAGTTAACAGAAATGAATCAGGGCATTAAGAAAGATGATATCTGGTTTGATAAGAGGTCTTGCTACATAATTACGGAGGTTACCCACAAAAAACAAACCCAGAATTCGAGCTTCGAATAAATGACCCCCAAACAATGATAAAGACCTCCATATAAACTAAGACAGTGGTACAGATAAACCGAGAAATAAAGTAATTAAGCCTAATTTCTCTCTTTAAGAAAGCTCTCACTGGAAGAGAGTCCAGTAATTAAGACCTATATTCAGTGGTGCCAGGGAAAAATAGGTAGTGTCAATGAAAATTATTGAGTCAGAAAAATAGTTTTAAAAGAGTTGTGAGCTAACAAGTGAACGCTAATCAAACGCGAGGGCTTTCAACACTTACTTGGTGAAGCTTTTCCTGAATGTCTGGAAGCTGGGTGATGAGCAGGGTCCACTTTTGTTCAAACTGTGTTAAGGCAGCCCGCAGCGTGGCGGTGTCTGTCTCTTTGAGCTGTAGAAGTTGGTTTCCCGTACTCATGACTGCAGTCTTCAGGGAAGACTTCTCGTCCACTTCTTTGGAAAATTCCTGAAGGAAACCGTTTTAGAGATTACAAACTTCTGAAGTTTAAATATAGCCAGAATAATTGGCTAGAAGGCAAAGCTGGATATAGTAAACAAATCTACATACCCGCACACATACATGCACACGCACACACATGCACACGCATGTACAAAAAGGCGTACATGCATGTGCCTCCTGTCAAGCTCCGCTCTGGGCATGAGATACACATCCAAGAACACGGGGGGTGGAGATTCTTAGGCAGCTGATCTGCTGCCCCACACTGACCTAAGTAGATCCTATTGGAACTTACGAAAAAGTTCTTTATGCTGCTTCTGATTGTATCCAGGTCCTGAGACGCACTGAGGGACTGTTCTTTCCAGTAATTCAAGGTTTGCTGAGATGATTCCAACCACTTGGTTAATTCATCCGAATCTCTGTTGTAACTAACAGGGGTGAAGCAGGAGAGAAGAAAATCAAAACTGCCTGCTGGAGACACCCACCACTAGCATATTTTTGTCTTATTTTGATGTATATTTTCTTGTGCTGACCAGCCTTTCTATTCAGAAAACTGTGACACGTAGAAGGATTAGATCATGTCTAACATATACCATGCCCCAAATCCAATGCTCTTTTGCTTTCTCAGACTCTCTCCATTATGGCTAGTGAAGAAAAAAGGCATTTGAAGGACCCAAGTATTTTTTTTTTATTGCTTTTTATTACAGCTAAACCCATAGGGATACTAATCCATCACTAAGAACAAAGATGGTTACATTTTATCCTCCAAATATTCTCTATAAACATGTGCACAGAAAAATACAATCAGTGTATATCACGGCTGTTGGCTGGATGACAACATATTGATGATGAAAACACCCAGACACATGCTGCCCTTCTATGATCTTGAGGTTAGGCGGCCAGCCTTCCCAGTTGAGAAGGCTTCGACCATTTTCTACCATCCTCCAATGGCTCAAGGTTACACCAAATGAGCAAAACAAATCCTCCGAAGACTTTTTCAAACGATCTCAGTTAGAATCATTTAATTTTGTTTAAATTTTAAAACTTCAGGATGAAGGTAGTTAAACTGCAACATCCAGGTATAAAGGTAACGTATATGTTATTTTATAGTACAACTCCTAGTTTCCATAGATATAGGTTAACATTTTTAGCAAACTTACTGCATGTTATCCTGGGTCTACCAAACCAGTAGCAGAGACCAATACTGGATCTCATCTAACCCAGAAGGGGACGCAATGGCTTTGGGTTGATGAGAACACAACAGAAGCTGGAGTCCAGGCACAAGATTTAGAAGACTGCAGAATCCCCCTGAGGTCTTTCTCACAGCACAGTGGAAACCACCCGCCTCAGGCAGCGTACCTGAGCAGATGCCTGAGCAGCGTGTGCAGTCTGTGGAGCTCGTGGTCCGTTTTCCTGTCCAGGGCCAGGCCCTGCTCCTCCAAGTGAGCGATCTGGCCCTCCAGCTCCGGGCAGCTCACAGACGCCGCCAGCTGTCTGCCTTCACTCAGGGTCTGGTACAGCCGGGCCTGCTTTCCTTCAACGTTCCTTTTGATTTGCTAATGAAAGGCAGGGGCTGAGTTGTTCAAAAGAGAATAAAATCTGCCAATCTATTCACAAGTACTTGCTTTAAAAATTTACACCACGGGATCCTGAAGAAGCATGGATACCTGCCCTCTTTCCAAGCCTGGAGAGACATACATGATTGAGAGGCTGCTGATCGCCTTTCGCAACAAGGTGTGACCATCTATAAAACAGACCAGCTCCAAGACCTACCTCATCTGGACAAGAGGCCAAAACTCTGCAGATTCTTTTTTCTGTATTTTAGGGAAGGGTCTACAGGGGGCTCAGGTCTCATTACTAGGTCAGACTCATAGTGATCTGCCTGTTTACAGTCTCCTAAAAGCTGGGATTACAGGCATGTGACACCACGCGCAGTCTCACTTCCTGTCTCAGCATGTCCTGGGGGCAGGGCAGGCACGGCAGATCCCGGGATTGAACCTCTGGCCCCTGTGCCTGCTTGTTGACACTTTAATCCACTGAGCTATTTGGCTGGCCCTACAGATTCATTTCTTTTCTTTTTTTTTTCTCTCCAATGTTGAGATTGAACCTAGGGCTCTGCGCAGTGCTACACAAGCATTCTACTACTGACCTCCATCCTCAGCTCTAATCTGAAGATTCAGATCTGATAATTCTAAAATTTAAAAACAAAAACAAACTGGCAGTCCAGAGGCCATACTCAGACAGGCCTGACACCTCTCTGTCTCTTTCTCTCTAATGCTTGTCTGTCTGTCTGAGATGAGATCTTGCAGCACTGCCCAGCCTGGCCTTCAACACTTACCCCCTGGGGGCCTCTTATCTGAGTCCTTCAAGTGGCTGGACCTATAGGCATGTGTTACTCTTCTTGATTTTCAGACAGGTTTTGTTTGACCTAGCTATTATCTTGAAAATCATAACATGTCACATACAGCTTGCATAAGCTATAGCAATCAGGATTTCCAGGGCCTCTGGAAAACCGGTCAGAAGATGGAGCATTTTCATGTGACAGCAGCTGACCCTAGCAGCCGCTGCCGCCCGCAGCCCACTTCATGGAGCTGTGCCAGGCCTGCCCTTGCTGGGTCCCTACGGCAACTCAGACACAGCTAGGGTCCTCACTCCGGCCTCTGGGCCTTGCACTACTGCAGCCATACATAAAGGGGATGAAAAGGAAAGTGTTTTTCTAGTATCTGTAGCATGAAAATACTAAGGGAAATTATCACTTCTAGAGTCTTGTGTTATGGTTTGTGTCTAGTTGTCCCTCCAAAGCCTCATGTAAATTATGGGGCAGACACAGCTGGAGAGGCACAGTGTAGCATGAAGGGCGGGGCCTGAGGACCAGGGCGGGGCCTGAGGGGGTGGGGCCTGAGGGGGTGGGGCCCGAGGGGTGGGGCCCGAGGGGCGGGGCCCAAGGGCGGGGCCAGAGAGGCATGAACCTTTACATTGGCTGGCCTGTGCTTGTGGAGAGGGTCGTCCTGGACACTGCAGCGCCCCAGCCTCTCCTCCAGTGTCTTGAAACCTCCAGTAACTATGAGCTAAATAAACCTTTCCTTTCCTCATTTTGAGTGTCGGGTACTTGTCCCAGCAAGGAGAGAAGAATAAGACATCTTGTAATATAAGGTTTTGTTAGAAAGAGAACTTTAAAAGAATAAATTAAAACAGCATACTATTAAATCCATTTTATGAAAAGAATAAAATTCTTCAGAACTGAAAATACATGACCCCCTGAAGAGAACTCTGTCTCCTGGCAATTATCTTCCAAGCTGGGTTCAACCAATGCCACTTATCCTGACAGCGGTTTCATCTTTAAAAATAAGTTAACAAAAAAGAACTTCAGCTGTTTTCTAATAAACTTAAACCTTTTTACAAATTATCAAAAGTCCCAGCTCCTTTTCGGTATTCCCATTTATAATTCCTTCCCTCCTACCCAAATCTACTTAAAGATAGGGGGAAAAATGGAGATGGGGGTTAAGGCAAGATCTCCACTATAAGGGAGGGGGAGATAGCTCAGGAGAATAAGCACTTGCCTGGTAAGTGCAAGGTCCTGAGTTCAATCCCCGGTACCGCAAAAAAAAAAAGAAAGAAAGAAAAAAGAGATCTTCCCTCTATAGCCCCGGGTGGCCTCATTTCAAAGCGATCTTCCTGCCTCAGTCTCCTGAGTACTGGGTGTGCACCACCACACCCAGCTTAAAAAAAAAAAAAATGTTTAACACAAATTTAAAAAAAGTTCTGGTCTTCTAATCCTTACACTTACATTGAGGCTTTCTAAACCACTTTATCTTTAGATTCTTCCCTTTTACAAATGGAAGATAGACTGTGTTGGTTCCCGGGCGGGTGGTGGCATGAAATGGTTGAACACAGCAGTTTTAGCAGCCACGCGCCTAAGCCACAGGTGTCCACCGGTGAGGGTGGCAATGTGGTTCACACACACAAACCTCTCCATGGCTCCTCCAAGGATAGACTAGCCTCATGAGGAGGGCTTTGGGGATGGATCTTTTTTATATCAGGGCAAATTTATTTAGTCTTAGAAAAATTATTTTATTTTATGTATTTGGTACAGGGCCTCACTACACAGCTGACTCGTAGTGATCCTCCTGCTTCAGCCTCCCCAGCACTGGAATTACAGGTGTGTGCCATCATGCCTGGTTTCTGTGGCTGGCACAGCATGCAGTGCTGGGGATTGAACTTGTGTTCCTGCACTTGCCTGTAATTTTTTTTAAAAAAAAGATTCAAATATAATACAGCCATACTAATAGTTTAAATGTGGGAACACAGGTTCTTAGGTTCTTACTAGACTGGTTAGTATTACACCGTCAACACCATGTGGCTTACAGTGTCATCCTCAACTGCACTCTGTATCCTTCGACAAGTACCCACCCTCACCCGGGGATGCTCAAGTCTACCTATCGTAGGTCTTTGGGGCACTGAGAGAGTACAAAGTGCCATTCCAGCCTCTGGGCAATGTTCCTGACAGGGGCTGACATGTCCCCAGGAATACTAGGGTCCTGTCATTATTTCTGGCTTTCATTTTTTCATGTACTCTATCTAGGCAATAAACCTGTTTTTGAAGTTTTACACTGGATAGTTGGGGCTAGGTAGGGTACTCATGCCTGTTATCCCAGCTACTTGGGAAGCTGAGGCAGGAAGATCACAAGTTCAAGGCTAGCCTGCACAACTTAGTGAGACCCTAATCTCAAAATTTAAAAAAGAAAACTACCCTACCTCTAGTTTGCAATGCAGATTTTAACAGTATATATGGCGTTTTAAAATGAAGACTGAAGTACCTAAGTTTCTGTTGAGAAACTTAAACTTATTTTTGCCTTGGTCACGTTCTCAGTGCCCCCTGAAAACCATACTGAGGTCTTAGCATTTCTATGGCATTGACACTAGAGACACAAAAACTTTAATAATGACAAGATTCAAAGTGATGTAAGAAAAGTTTTAAAGTTCACAGTCTTTTATAATGCTAGGGGCAGGTAACATCCTGTTTCATAGGCTGTGTCCACTTGGGACGTCAGTGAAGCAGTGAAGCCCCGTAGCTGTCTGGAGGCCTAGGGGTTCGCACAGTTCCGCCTGTGTGCGGCGTGCGGCCCACTACCGGTGTGCTGAGCGCATGCCCAGAGCAATGTAGACCTGGCTTGCTCCTCTGCTCTGCACCAAGACAGGAGGGACAGGAAAGCCACGAAAGTGACTGCAAGGAGCCAGGCCTGAGCCACGGCCTTCAGCTGAAGCCAGAAGTGCGGCTATGCGAGCCTGTCACCTCTCTGAATATGTCTGCCCGTGAGCAGTGTGACAAACGTTGTTTTCTTTGCTTTTTAGCAACTGGTTACTGATGAATGGGTTTCACCGTGGCAGATTTGTACACACAACTAACATGCTTTGATCATTTCTAGGTCCCCCCTCTGCGGGAGGCCATTAACCGGTATCCATTCTATTCCCCTGCTGAGTTAAGTTTATGGCCCTTCTCACCTTGCCCATTCCCCGTGAATCACACGTGCTATGCCCCAGGGGTTGCACCTTCACCCATTGCCTAGATACTTGCTGACCCCAAGATCCGAGACTTCCTCATTCCATCACCCCCTATATATACCCAGCACCTCCCCTGAATAAATGGGACTTGATCAGAATCCTGTCTTGTCCTCATTCTTCATGTCTCCTGTCCTTTGTCCCCTCTTTAATTCCCCGCTCCTCCCCCAGGTGACCTTCGTTGACTGACCCGCTGGATCGGGACACCCCTCTCCTTTCAGGAGGGTCTCAATGCACACCAAACATTACTTTAACCTAATTCAAATCATTAGCTCCGCAATCCATGAACCTAGTCCAAAGATACCTGGTACAGCGAAAGCCTCTCCACGAGTCTTTCCTCGGTTTCTTCCACCAGACCCACAGAAGGCAGTGTCGAGACAAGAATTTCCAGCTCCTTTTCCAGGGAAGCATAGTTTTCATCAAATTCTTCCCATTTCTAGAATCAACAACACGACACAGAGGGAGTCCTTCTTTAGCTCAGTCTCAGGCAAGCACAGTGAACCACCAAACCAAAAATGAACCCCAAAGCCCCACAAAACTGAAGCACAGATTTTAGGTGGGCCTGAGCAATATCCCTCATTCTAGTAAGAGCTTGGTGTCTAAGGGAAACGATTCCACCGCTTCTGAGGATGGGTTTGTGAGAAATCCAGTTGCCATTCATGTTTTATGTTTGCAGGGTCAAACTGGGTGAATGGTGGAGAAGTTAAAAACAATAAATCACCTCTCAGAGACCTGGCAGTCACAGGAGAGCCTTTCTCCTTCTGCAAAGGCAGAGTTTGCTTTGAAAATCTTCTGTGCAGGATCTCCCATCAGGCTGCGCCCTCTCCACTGCCACCTTCCCCTTCATCTCGGTCTGCCCTGCTCCCCATCTCCATAGAAGCTCCCCTGTTTGGGTCCCAGTATACCACACGGCTGAGTCACTGATACTAGAAATTATCCCTGGAAACTCAGTAACTTCATTACTTCTGGTATCTGTTTTTCTTTTTTTTATGCCAGGGCTTGAACTCAGGACCTCGGCTTGCCAGGCAACTGCTATTCAAGTAGTGGGTTGCCTGGCTTTCACAGGTCCTGCCAAGTGTTTGTCTTTTTTTTTTCTTTTCTTTTTTTTGCGGAACCAGGGATTGAACTCAGGCCCTGGTGCTTGCCAGGGAAGTGCTTATTCCACTGAGCCATCTCCCCGGCCCAAGTGTTTGTCTTAAGTACCATGATATATTACTATAAATATCAACTTGGCACCTTAACTAGAAAATAAATCGTGTGAACATAAAATAACTCCTAAAGTTGCCAAGGTTGTGCCTGTCTGGCAAGTTCAAGGTCCTGAGTTCGATCCCCAGTACCAAAAATATAAAATAAAATAAAATGTTAAAAAATATAAAAAATAAAGTTGCCAAGGTGAACACTTCATTCCTTTCTTTAAATTTTCTTTACGTGCTAACACTGACCATGAAAGGCTTGCTAAGTTAGGGGTAGAAACCTTAAAACTGAAAAGGAACATCAGACAGGCTTAATTTTTCTTTGAACTGAGACAAGAGTTTCACGATCCATTTCAGCCATGGACTCTCTGTGAATGGAGTGCCATCTCTCAGCCAGTAACCGTTTAAGCCAAATGATGTGAAACTAAATGGGGGAAAGATGCCAGATGCCCAGATCTGCGCAGGAGAAATCCCAGCGAGCTGTCTCGGGGTGGCAGGGAGCGCCAGGCCCAGGCTGACCTTCCTCGCTGTCATGCCCCTGCTTCGTTCCAGCTTAAGGACACACACTTGCTTTTGACGCTGGAGGCGTCAGGCTTTGAGCTAAGGACAGAGGCCACAAAGCCACGTACCTGCAGCAAACCCTGAAGCCTCGTGCCACACTGCTGAGCCCTGTCTTCCAGGGACTTAATTTCTGTTACTTGTTCTGCCCAAAATGTCTCTCTCTTTTGTAATAAAGAAGGAAACGTCTTGGCAGAGTATGTCTGGATCAACAGCATGTCGGCAACAAGTTTCCGGAAAAACACCTGCAACAGGTAAGAAGTTTTTAATATTATTTTTAAATTGTTAAAATTGTTCTAACCAAGTCAGTTCAACTTTCTGTTCAGCTGTTTCTGTTTTATAATCCACGATCCCAGATAAGCAGCACAGTGTATAAAATAAAAAGAAAACTGAAATGGATTCCTAAGTTTCTTAAAACAGAAGGCCTTTTAAGAAATTATAAAGAAGTACCATCTCTAAGTAATGTTTCCCACAAAATAATGTTATTGTGAGTCCATTTTGGTGTCCTGATAAATCTAACTCAGCTGGTTTGAGTTTTGATACTTTACTAGAAGGTGCTGATGGATTAGAGCAGCGTGAATCCGCAGCTGTGTGAACTTAAGCCGCCCACATACCCGTCGGAGGCAGCGCTTAAACCCTTGCTCTCGCGGCGCTCAACAGAAGAGGGTGACTAAGCAGAGGGAATTTACTAATTGAGGCCGATAGGGATTCTGGTCCTCTTTTTTACAATTTTTTCTTAATACTGGGTCTCACTACATAATTTGAACTCAGTTCCGGTTCTGGGCTGGCAGGGCATGTGGTACTGGGGATGAAACTCAGGACCTTGCGCTTGCCGGGCAGGCACTTTCACTGCCGAGCTATCTCCCCAGCCCCGGGGATTCGGGTCCTTAGACCTGGCCTTGTTTGTACTTCCAATATTCAAGAAGAAGGCTCTGTTCACACAGTCCCTCCTCTGGTTGTTTGGAGAGCCCTCCCTTTACCCTAGAAATATCCTCTACTTGTTCAAAAGGACAAATACACTTGAAAGGGTTTGCCACAGAATCCAGGAAAGGGCTGGGTACACAGTAAGATAATCCATATTATTTTCTCCTCCTCTCTTCTATTCCTTATTCAGTGTTCACCTTCTGATTTTCTTATACCAAGATCTACCAACCAAAGGCCCTAGACCATGAGCTTTCAGAAGGTGGAGACGGCTTTCTTTTTTGGCGGAAACGGGGATTGAACTCAGGCCCTTGTGCTTGCCAGGGAAGCGCTATTCCACTGAGCCATCTCCCTGGCCCCGGGATTACGTCTTATGCTCCTTATTATCAGCAGTTAGGTTGCTACATATTTTAGTTGATGATCACAAATAAGTCATGGGGCTGGAGAGATGGCTCAGTGGTCTAAAGCACCTACTTGAAACAAGCTTGGCAAAGCACAGGGACCACGGTTCAATCCCCAGCACCACATGCCAGCCAGCCCCGCCCCCAGGTGGGCTGAGCTGGCCACACACACACACACACACACACACACACACACACACACACAATAAATAAATGTAATAAATAAAAATAAATAAATATTAAAAAAAAACCAAGTCATGAAATGAATACAAAATGAAAGGATTTACTATTGTATACTAGAGAACAGTGCATTTTCCTTAGGACTCCAGTTCTCAGGAGACCTTGCCAATTCTACGTCAATTTCTTCTACTAATGCTCCCATAGAATGAATCTGACATTTAGCCATAAATTTTAAGTCTCATTGATGAATGTCTGTCTTTTCACTCAGCTGAACAGAAAGAACTGGTCTGCTCTCCCCACCATCACCCTCTTAGGGCTTCCCAAGCTCTTGCTGCGCTTCAACACAGGTTTGTACAAGAAGGAATGGTGCATGTTTCACCAGGGAAGAAAGTGGATAGTACCATTAAGCTCAGAAATGTCTTGAGCTTTTAGGCCCACAAAGAGAATCTGACAGCTCGGTCTTACCTTATGATTCTGCAGCTGGGCCTGGAGGGCAGCTTTACTCTTGGCTTGCTGTAAGTGGCCCTGCGCCAGCTTCTCCTTCCCGATACTGACCAGCTCACCCAGGCCCTGCAGCAAGGCATCCAGCTGGCTCTCGGAGGCAAAAGGGCTGCTGAGTTCTGAGTACCTGGCTCTGAGGATGCCCCACATGCTGTCGAGTACATCCTGAAGGGCAGAGGAGTACACAGGCCTTTTCACCCAACCAAGAAAACAACTCCAAGGCAGAACCCTCCCAGGCCTCTTGGAAGAGCACGGCCTCCTGCTCACGATGCCAGTGCCGGCGTGGGCCCTCCTCAGCCCTACCTCTAACTTGTGCACCTCCTGCAGGACTGTGGAAGGTAAGCCCAGTCTCTGCCCTTCATCTCTCAGCTTGGCCACGCGGTTCTCCAAGTTCTGCAGCTCTGCTGTACATGCGTCTGCTTTCTAGGGGAGAGATGGTACAAAACAAGAAAAGCCTCAGAGAAATACTTTTTGTTAAAGAAGTGAGAGGAAAATGGAAAGTCCTGCATGCTCCTCCCTCACCTCGAGCACTCCTTGTCCATCTCCCAGGGAACCCATGTGGCCCTCTGTACCTAACACCTTTCACATATACAGTCCCAGTGCAGGAAACCCACACACCTTCACAGGCTCCGACCTGCACCTCCACAGTGCTTCAAGTCAGCAGCCAATACCTGTGCCTCTCAAACACACAGTGAGCACCATTTTGTACAGAAGCACTCTGCGTTAGGCACAGGCAGCTTCCAATGGACTTTCGACTACTCACAGCACTGGGAGGTCCCCCCTCCCACAAGTATGTTCATTATTTATTTGTGTGTGTGTGTGTGTGTGTGTGTGGCCAGCTCAGCCCACCAGGGGGCGGGCTGGCTGGCATGTGGTGCTGGGGGATTGAACCGTGGTCCCAGTGCTTTGCTAAGCTTGTTCTAAGTAGGTGCTTTAGACCACTGAGCCATCTCACCAGCCCAGTATGTTCATTTTCATGCATTAGAAAGTTTTATATTCTTAGGAACAGTGAGGATCGAGCCCGCAGAGCAATCACTACGTGCAGGTTCTCAGTCACGATTTGCTAAATAAGTGGAGTCCACTGGCTCCGGAGCAGAAGTGTGTATAAGGTTCTGACAGGCAAGTGACCCCGGAGGCTGGAACAGCCAGTGCCCCCCAAGCAGACGAAGGCCTCTTGACACCTCAGCAGCCTGGGCTTGGTCACCTTCCTGTCAGGCTGATAATGAGAACATCTCTCCCTGTTTCAGCACATGTGTCTGAGAGGCGTCTTTAAAGGCCACTAGAGATCATTGCCATTTTATTGACTAATTCAAACCCCGCTCCTGCTCTCAGAGTGAAGGAGGTTCAGACGCCCCGGGGATGCACCCAGGACTCTGGGATCCAGGTGACATCAATGTGAGTCACTGTGATCGATTACCTGGAGCTGGTCACCAATACTTTGGCCACTGATCTCATTCAAGGACTGCTGAAGGGCTGTCTTACTCTTGATCACGTGATCATATAGTCGTTTTATCTCATTCTGCGTAGAAAAGATAAATGTAGGAAGCTGAGCAATCTCATTTAGCCCTTCATCATCTTTCTTAAATTTAATTGAGCTTTTACAATTTTTCTGATACCAGAAATCTCACACATATACAGGTAGAGGAACCCCCAGACCACATCACTGAGCTCCCACAAGTCTTGACACCCTCATCCCTTCACGCTGCTCTCTGGCTCTCTGGACTGTATCTAACTTCTCTTCCATCAGAATACTTTGAAGCGAATACCAGATACCAAGTTACTTAATCAGTATGTTGTAGTAGGTATCTCAAAAGATAAAGCTCTCTCCATTCCAAAGTATTACAATATAGCCAGAGTTGGTGGCAAACGTCTGTAATTCTAGCCCTCTGGCAGGCTGAGACAGGAGGATCACAGGTTCAAGCTCAGCCTGGGCAAGTTAGCAATTTAGTGAGACTCTATCTCAAAATAAATAATAAAAGGGCTGAGGATGTAGCTCGGTGTGTCAAGGCCCCGAGTTCAATCCCCAGTACTGCCAACTGAAGAACTTCCCTATAGGCAAACAAACAACCCCAACACATTCCTCTCAAAATTCATACCAACTCCTTAGTATGACGAACTATCCAGACAGGGCTCACAATTCCCTAATTACTTATAATTTTTCTTTTTCCTTTTTTTTTTTAAGTGGGATCCAGATGAGGTCTTTCTATCACGATAGTAAGATTACTATTTCTTACCAACTCACTAAGCCTGCAGCTTCCCACTCCCTATTTCTGTTTTATTTCTTGGATTTGTGTGCAAAAACAAAACCTGAGTAACTGATTTTGGATTTGGAAGAGCTGCATCCCGGCAGTGCTATTTAACACGTTCCTTCCCCTATGTCGGTTTTACATGGATTTCAGAAGTCTGATGAGATTTAGGTTTGACTTTTCATAAGTGGCTTGAGTTCCCTTCCTTTCTTTTTAAAGAGAATAAAACAAAACAAAACAAAAAAGATACAGAATTTCAAAACAAGATAATAGAGGAAATCAACAATGGTTGTTACATTCCATATTATCTTCAAAGTAGTTGTTCAGATTACCAGATATAAGCATCGCTATGGTTTGTGTCTAGCTGTCCCCCCGCACCCCTAAGCCTCACGCAGTCATGGGACGGCTTCTGGAGTCTGTGATATATTATTTCGGGGGTGAGTGCTGCACCCTGACGCTGGGGTCGGTAATCTGCATTACAATGTGAGGAGGGGAGAGAGGCTAGTGGCTGCCACAGCTGCTGCTTCTCCTTTTGCTCTTGTTCTTTGCTGCCAGCATGAGCAGAGTTCATGGCTCTGAGCCATGTGCCACGCTGCCTTGGAGCCAGCCGAGTACGGACTGAAACCTCCACTAACTGTGAGCTAAATAAACCTTTCCTTCCTTAGTTCTGGGTGTTGGATATTTGTCCCAGCTATGGGAGAAGAGTAACTGAGACAAGCATGTAAAATTGGCTAAAAAAAAAAAAAGAGAAAGCATTAAGTGTTCCTTTGAATAAGCCAATAGAAATTAGCAGTACAATCCTTTCTATCTTTCTTCCTATTCTCCTTCCCCTCATCTCAGCTGTTCTTTCCTTTTGAGCAGTTTCTTTCTCTTCACAGTATCTATTTTATCTTTAAGATTTTATTTACTGTTCAGGTAAGTTTAGTAATTTCCACCAGCCTCTCGGCCCAAGTCCCTCTCTCCCCAGTCCACCAGAGAGGACTGCCATGTGAACCTACCTCACACGTACAGGAAAAAACCTTTACTGACTCCCTCACCTAGAAATCAAAATAAAAACCCTCCTGTGTTACAATAATTA